CGCAGCCCAAGGGAGACCAGCCACTGCAATTCCTAGCCAGGCTGACCATTGGACCCACTGGCCAGGAAGGCGTGCCAGAGTCCAGGCTGCTGGGAAGGAAGAAGGAGATTCAGCAAAGATAGGAGAGGAGAGCCGCCCCCTGGGGCCCAGCGCTGGCGGCGGCTTCCTTGCCATCTTCTTCCTCCTCCCCTTCTTCTTACTGCCAAAGTGGCTCGGGCGGGTGCCGGGGCAAGAGGGTTGCCTGGGGGGGGAGCAGCTGGGCTGGCGGGCCGCGCGGCACCAGCCCCCAACGCAACTCCATCGGATGGGTGGAGGGTGAGGGCAGGCAGCGTGGGGGTGGCGGGGACGGCAGGAGCGGTTTTTTCACCCTTCTTCTCTCCTTCCTCCTGCTGCCCCCAAAGCGGCTCGGGCGGGCACCAGGAGGAAGAAGGGTGCCTGGGGGGGAGCAGCCAGGGTGGCGGAGGGGCTGGCGGGCCAAACGGCACCAACCCCCACCACGGCTCCATTGGATGGACGGAGGGCAAGGCCGGGCAGTGGCAGCGGTTTTCTCGCCCTTCTCCTCTCCTTCCTCCTGCTGCCCCCAAAGCGGCTTGGGCGGGCGCCAGGAGGAAGAGGAGTGGCTGGGGGGAAGCAGCCAGGCTGGTGGAGGGGCTGGCGGGCCGTGCGGCACCAGCTCCCACTGCTGCTCCATCAATGGACGGAGGACAAGGCCGGGCAGCGCGGGGGCGACAGGGACCCCCAATGATGCAGTAGTGGCTACCTCCCATCCTGCTCCCCCTCCCCACCCGTTCAGCTGAGGACATGGTGGAGGCCGGGCTGGGGGCGGCGGGGATCCCCGACGATGCTGCCGTAAGAGAGAGAGAAAGAGAGGAAAGAAAGAGAGGAAAAGAGAGGAGAGAAAGAGAGGGAAAAAAGAGAAGGAGGAAACAGAGAAAGACAGAGAGAGAAAGAAAGAGGAAAGAGGAAGAGGAAAGAGAGAAAAAGAGAAGAGAGAGAGAGAAATGGGAGAGGAAAGAAAAAGAGGAAAGAGGGAGAGAAAGAAGAGAGAGAGGAAAGAGAAAGAGAGGAAAAAGAAAGAGAGAAACAGGAAAAGAGGAAAGAGAGAAAGAGAAAAAGGGAGGAAAGAAAGAGAAAGAGGAAAGAGAGAGAAGAGAGGAGAAAGAGAAAGAGAGGAAAGAAAGAAAGAAAGAAAGAAAGAAAGAAAGAAAGAAAGAAAGAAAGAAAGAAAGAAAGAAAGAGGGAGAGGAATGGTGCTTCTCCAATCAGGCTGGGCGGAGCCAGCAGAGCGACCTTCCTGTCCCCCCTCCCCGGCCAGCTGGATGGGGGGTTGGGGGGTCACCACAACATGAGGAACTGTATTAAAGGGTCGCGGCATTAGGAAGGTTGAGAACCACTGTTTTATAGCCTCTCCTGTCTCCGCCCCCCCTCCTTTCTCATGGGGGAGGGTGAGCCAGAAGTGAGCCTGGGGCCTTTGCAGCTCCAGAGGACTCTCTCACTGCAAGTCCTTGCCTGTGCTGGCTCTTTCCTTCCCCCACTGCACTTGTCTAGGTAGGGCTGTGTACCACCTGCCACTCATTATTGTACCACAAGTGGTAAGCATACCACCGGTTGAAAAGCCCTGATTTAAGCAACCAAATCCAACTCTGTGATATGAGCAAGAACCAAAATTAAAGCATCTGTAACAAATGGCAGTCCAGTCTCTCAATATATTGAGTAAACTTCAGACTATCACCTCTCTTGATAATTGATTCCATTGTCAAATTTTCCTTATTATTAGAAATTTTTAGAAAACTTCTATTTTTCAGACCATTAATTTAACTCTTAAAACTTTAATTTACCCTTAGTTGTCTGATAACATAGATAACTTTCATTCATGTATTATTTTGCATGCTTTTTGACATTTCAACAGGGTAGCCAGAAACAGATTATACAGACGAAATATTCGTTCTTTGGTTTTGTTTGAGTATTTCATATTTTTATAAACATTGGAAACACTACTTTTTTTTCTATGCCATGTTCTATATTACTATGGGAAATACCTAGTGCATTCAGAAAATATTCAGACCCCCTTCACTTTTGTCAGTTTTGTTATACTGCACCCGATTCTACAGTTGTTGAAATTTATTTTTTTCATTAATTTATACTCAGTACCCCATAACGACAAAGTGAAAACACGTTTACAAATGTCTGTAAATTTATTAAAAAGAACTGAAATATCACATTGGCATAAGTATTCAGACCCTTAGCAATAATACTTGAAATTTAGCTCAGGTGCTTCCCATTTCCCTTGATCATTGCTGACATGTTTCTATACCTTGGCTGGAATTGACCCGTGGTAAATTAAATTGATTGGACATGATTTGAAAGGCACACACCTCTCTATAGAAGGCCTCACAGCTGACAATGCATACTGTAGCAAAGCAAAAGCCATGAAGTCAAAGGAACTGCCTGCAGAGTTCACAGACAGGATTACTGCAAGGCATAGTTCTGGAGAAGGCTACAATAAAATTTCTGCTGCACTGAAGGTTTCTAGGAGCACAGTGGCCTCCATAATTCTCAAATGGAAGAAGTTTGGCACAACCAGGACTCTTCCAAGAGCTGGTCTCCCGGTCAAATTCAGCAATCGGGTGAGAAGGGTCTTATTAGAGAGGTGACCAAAAACCTGATGGTCACTGTGACTGAGCTCCAGAGATCCTATGTGGAAATGGGACAGAGTTTCAGAAGGACAACCATTACTGCAGCCCTCCACCAATCTGGGTTTTATGGCAGACTGGCTAGACAGAAGCCTCTCCTCAGTGCAAAAAACATGAAAACCCACTTGGAATTTACAAACAAACAAACAAACAAAAACCCCTGAAGGTCTCTCAGACTGTGAGGAACAAGATTCTCTGGTCTGATGAAACCAAGATTGAACTATTTGGCCTCAATTCTAAACATTATGTCTGGAGGAAACCAGACACTGCTCATCATCTGCCCAATACAATCCCAACAGTGTAGCATAGTGATGGCAGCATCATGCTGTGGGAGTGTTTTTCAGCAGTAGGGACTGGGAGACTGATCAGATTTGAGGGAAAGCTGAATGGAGAAAAGTCAATGAAAACTTGTTCTACAATGTTCAGGATCTCACTGGGCTGAAGGTTCACTTTCCAACATGACAGAGATCCTAAGCACACAGCCAAAACAACGCAGCAGTGGCTTAGGGACAACTCTGTGAATGTCCTCAAGTGGCCCAGTCAGAGCCCTGATTTGAACCTTATTGAATGTCTCTGGAGTAACCCGAAAATGGCTGTCCACTGATGGTTGCCATCCAACCTGACTGAGCTTAAGAGGATTTGCAAGGAAGAATGGCAGAAAATCCCCGAATCCAGATGTGCAAAACTTGTCGTGTCATATCAAAAAAGACTTGAGGCTGTAATTACTGCCAAAGGTGCTTCAATAATGTACTGAATGAGGGTCTGAATTCTTATGCCAATGTGATATTTCAGTTTTTTCTTTTTAATACATTTAGATATTTTAAAATTCTGTTTTCATTTTGTCATAATGGGGCACTGAATGTAGATTAATGAGGGAAAATTGAATTTCAACAGCTGAAGAATCAAGCTGCAGCATAACAAAATTGACAAAAGTGAAGGGGGTCTGAATACTTTCTGAATGCACTGTAAGTACTTCCCATAGTAATATAGAACATGGCATAGAAAAAAAAGTAGTGTTTCCAATGTTTATAAAAAAACATGAAGTACTCACACAAAACCCAAAGAACGAATATTGCGTCCCAGCCTCTCAGTGCAGCATTTTTGTTACTTTCTGTCTTCTAAAAGAAGTATGGTTAGCCTGAAAATTGCACAATACTTTATGTCTAGCACAAAATTTCTACTTGACAGTGATTAAAAAAAAATAAGAACATTATACTAATGAAGAATTGTTTATCTTCTGCAATTCTGTAGAATTGGATCTAACAGTCTAGATTACAAAAATCTATGTCTAATATTTCTGCAGAATGCATTGTCAAAAAAAAAAAAAAAAAAGGACCAGGCAATTGTATCACCTTTGGCTAACTGATTTTATATTCTTGACATTCTCATCACATGCCTACTTTCCCATCCAAGGAAACTAAACAATGTGAAAACACCGTAGTACTTGGTTCAGAACAAAGTGTACAATCCAGAGAAATTCATAAGCCATGCTGACTCATACTTACTGATCACAACTATCATTCTAATTCCCAAAACACACTTACAATCTAAGAAGTCACCAAGAGAAGCAAATGATGGTGTAAATGGGTGCTCTCAGCTTACTCCTTTCCTAGCTTTCTTAAATCCTCTACAGTTGGAAAACTTGAAAGACCAGGTGTGGAACAGTGTCATATAGTAAATCTATCTATGTAGTCACTAAGAGTTGACAGGACCTGATGGAACGTAATCAATCAAAGCTATCTAAATTGGCTGTCATTATTAAAGTTTGTGACCCTGAATGCACAAGATATATGTATGTGGTATGGAATGGCACTTCCATCTATCTGTCCTAAATCTCCCACCATTCAGCTTCATTAGATGATCAAGCATTATAAGGGGGAAATTTCCCTCTCCCTCCCCATGTATTTCCTTCGTATCATGTAAAATGGTATATGCTTCAGTAATTTTCCCTGGCCCCATTTATTCCATTTTCCCAAGGCAAAAGTTCTCAACTATTCCAACCTTTCCAATGGACTCCAATTCCTTACTAATTTTGATGTTATTTTTTTCCTGCGGTATTCCAAGCATGGCTGCACAACAATTTGGACAAAAGCATTTCAATAATTATATTCCCATTGACGTTCTTGAAGAACAGCATTTAAAGCTTGGATATAAATATAAAAGCACAGAATGTAAGTATTCAGAATACAATAAGTAGACAAGTCTTCCCTTTAAAACTATTATCTTTTAGAGATATGACAGACAATCCTGCCCGTATTCAGTTATTCAACCCTACAGACACTTGCCTCATAACGACAGCTTACTTACAGAGCAAGTAACTTGCAATTGTTGCTGTTGCTGCTGCTGCTGTGCCTGCTCCTGTGATGTGGACTGCTGCTGCTGTGGGTCCCATATATGAACCGTCTGTGCTGTATTCTGGTAGGTCCCTGCCACTGCTTGCACTGCCACTGGAATGTGGATATTGCCATTCATAAACTGTGCTGGGAAAAGGGAATTGGCAAGAGTTTGCACTACCTCCTCATGAGAGTTTTTCACTACCGATGCACCTCCTATCATCTTATCCTTATCTTCTTCTAGCTTCACAGTGGCCAAAGTTGTTGGGGAGCCACTAACATGGACGGCATTGTAGGCCTCCTGAGGAATGGCAATGTGGGTAATGTTTTGCTGCTGCAGGTCACCACGTGGCTGGGCAGAATAAACCGGGATTGTCCAAGTCTCCCCAGTGGGACTAGTTATGGTCCCAGTGGCACTGTACAGGTGGGCACTATCCACCGTTAACAAGTCCGGCCTTAAGGACACATAACTCTGCTGCTGGCCCTGGGGGATGGTCAGAACTGTAGCCACCGGCTGCCCTGAAATGGCGTATGACACAGTAATAGGCATATCCACTTTGCGCTTCTTTACTGGTTGAAGGACGCTGGCGGTGCTGATCCTTCGTTCGCCTTCCCGTGGTGAACCTTGTTGAGATGGAGGAGGAGAAAGTGCTCCAACTGTCTGAATTTGGATTTGCTGTCCTCCGGCAATAGCCTGTCCTGCCACAAGCTGGGCCTGGATCTGCTGATGCTGTATGTGTTCCTCCTGTATTTCTGCACCCTGGATTTGCTGAGCAGTCTGCACATGCTGCACCTGGATCTGAGCCGCCTGTAACTGAGAAGGGCTGGGACTCTGAAGGGCCTGACCTTGTATTGTCTGGGATGCTTGCTGCTGTGATTGGCCTTGGATCTGCACTTGGACTTGTATTGGCTGCTCTGAGGCCGGGTGAACAGTGAGCTGTGGAGAGAGCTGCTGGGTGGACACAGATTGAGGGGATTGCTGAACTTGAACCTGCACCTGCAAAAGGAACACATGAGCAGTTAGGGCATCAACTCCAAAATCCCTCAGACACTTTGGGGGTTGGAAGCATATCAAGTCAAATAAATGAATAAACCAGGATTAGGACTTAAATAAGCCCCAAATCAGCTGGGCAGCTACATGAGGGTATCCATAATGGAGAAAAAATGGTTAATACATCTTGGTAAAATCTCAAAGGGAAAAAATACAAGACCACCACCACCCCAACCTCAGTGCAAGATGAGCATCTCATTGGCCAAGAATCACAACTCAAAAATAATCCATTTGATCCTTAACATTTAAAATATCACCCCCCAAATTTTTTTTTCTTCAAACACTCATTTGAGGACTTTAAAAACAGTAAGCACTCTGAGCAGAAAACTTATGTTTAGAAATACACCAAAAACACTTGGTTGAATGTGCACAAACATAATTATATTAGAATTGTCTTTGGTAATGTAAAAACTTTGGAGGATTACTGATTTGATCTTAAAAATCACTAGCATTTTTAATAATATTTTAATGTAGATTTATGGAGAATTTTTAAAAAAAGATGTTAATGTTATATTCCCAAACTTTGGAATCTAACTATCTTTGAGAGGTTATGCTTAAATCAGGCATGTGCTGTCACTAAGAAACTGGAAAAACAGTAATATTCTTATTCTTGAGTTTATATATTCAAGGATGGATAACTTATTATTTTATAAAGGCAATTTTATTATTAATCCCAAAATTAATAATGTAATGTAATGTTAGAAAATCATACTTTTTAAAAAACATGTAATTTAGGAACAGTGACATTTGATGAATATGTGATATTTATTTCTAGCTTTATTAAAGCCCTTTCATTTGAATAAAAGGAAACTCAAAGTGAGGTCACTCAATTTTATCCATATCACTCAACTGCAAACTTAAGACAGGACATCTGAAAGGAGCTGTATTTGGTGCCTAAGCTGCATCCATAGGCATCACTAAATCAAAATACTTTGACTTATATTAATAAGACAGTGATAAGCAAAAAAGAAGTATGGCTGAGGACTGTAACTTCCTTAGAAAAACAACTCAACAGTCTTCATTTACATGAATATTAAATAAATCACAAATTAAACTGTTAGGTGTGCAATCTATGGCAGCAGTCCCCAACCTTGGCAGCTTGGCAGCCTGGCTGGGGGGGGGGAGAGGAGACCTGTGCCACCTGAACAACTTGACTTACACAAGTGGCAGGCTGGGGCATATGCGAGTGCCCGCAGGCCCACCGCTCATGCAAATTAAGTTTCAAATAGGCCACTGCCCAGTAGTGAGCCACAGCCCAGGGGTTGGGGACCCCTGATCTATGGCCATTGACAATAAAAGCTAGCTGGCAATAATCAACCCATATGGACCATCCTTATACTCAGTTTGCCACTGGCTGCAAATACAATCTTTACTACTTTTTTCTTTGTACTGTATTATACAGTATTGTACAGCAAAAAAAAACCCTTATATTACTATTATCAATGCTACATAGTAGCTACTTTTCTGGTACTTGAGTAGTATCCAAAAAAGGCAGCACAACTATAATCAGAATTCTCTGTAGTATTGTAGGAAGAATACAAGCAGTGCTATGCCTAGGTATTGTTGGTTTTAAGTAAATGTCAAGGCCACCTACATATTCTGTGATTTCTATTTCTATTGTAAATGTCCTTTGAAGCAAGTTAAATGAAAGCAGTTCTAACACTATCCGGGTAGTAGAAGAACATATTTTCGAATTACAATTCTTATCACTAGCAAACAGAATATTCTCCAACTTACTCATGGTGTCCTATACATAATCCAACTAGAATCTTACAATTTAAAAACCATCACAAAACAATGCTTTATATTTCCGTACTTCTCTCCCTCTCTGAAGAAGCATCTTAAATGAGAAGTGAAATGTTAAGGAAAAAACCAAGAAAGTCTAGAGATGCATCTCTGGGACCACCCTGACCTGGATGATTGAGAATCTCCACAGACATGCAATGTTAACATTACCTGCACTTGTTGGGGTTGTTGCACTTGTATTTGTTGCTCTTGTTGGGTTTGTTGCTGGACACTAGTTGTAACAGGACAGGCAAGTTCAAGCAAAGATCCAGCCACTTCCGTGCTATCTGTATAAATACAGTTGCCTCCCTGTTGATATACCATGGTTGTGGTAGCAGCTGTCTGCTGAAATTCCTGTAGGGCTTCAGGGCCCTTGGAGGCCAGGGAGTCCAGGAATTCCTTCATCCTATGTTGGGGGATCGTTCGTGCTTTCACACGGATGTATTCTTCAAAGGAAATTGTATTCTCCAAAGAATTATTCATATTGCAAAGTCCTCAGGGTTCCTTAGAAGAAAAAGGCAGTCATTTATTAATTCTGAGTTTAAACTCTAGACCACTGGCTTCATACCTCTGTTGTCTTTATAAACCAGTTGAATCTTTCTTCAGATCAGCAGTCCCATACAGCTATTCATTATAACAACCAAGAAATATATTGAATTAATTAATTAATTAATTAATATGTGAAATTAACCATAACCTAAAAACTGTCATCATTCTATTGCCACTGGATGAATAAAACTAAAGCATGTCAAATTAAGCAATTAAAAAAAATTCAACTATTTGAAGAAGTCTCTTTAAACTTCAAAAAAAATTGCCCAGTGAAAGTAATTAATTATAGCAAAATAGCACCTCAGCATTAAATGCCTTGGAAACAATGGTAGATCAATTAAAAGGACTTGCTACATTTCCTTCATATTTTAATTATTCCAAATTCAAAAAGATAAATGTTCTTGACTGTCAATGCCATTCTGATTCAGAAAACAAAAAAAGTGTAAAGCATTACTTAAATCAAGGGATTTTATTTATGGGAATTTCAGAGTGTGTCATTGACTTTTATTATTCAAATCACACTAAATGACTCAGTGGTTCACAAATAAAAAAAATCACACAAATGTAGACAGTTAAACTTAAAAGGATGAATGGAACAACCTCAACCTACCAACCTGCACTGCATTGGTTACTGGTATGTTTTGGGGTGCAATTCAAAGTGCTGGTGGTTACCCACAAAACCCAAATTGGCTTGGGATTGGGGTACCTGAGGGATTGCCTTTTTCCAAGCATCTCTACCCGTCCAACCAGTCAAACAAAATGGGTGTGCTGCAGATTCCATCAGACAAAGAATGTTGGCTGACAGGGACCAGAAGGTGAGCTTTTTCTGCAGTGGCCCTTTCTATGGAACATCCTGCTTTTGGAGATCAGAACTGTCCCAACCCTGCCAGCCTTTTGTAAGGTCCTAAAAACCTGGCTATGTTCCTGAGCCTGGGGCACTAAATGTGCCAAAGGCTCTGTTTCCTGTCTATATTGTTAAATGCCCAAATATCTTGCTCTTATGTGTGTTGAACTGGATGTTTTTAATGTTTTTCACTGGTTTTACTGTTTTTGTTTTAAAATGTTTTAATCATAATATATTTTCTGAATTGTAAACTAGCCAGAGTCATTGACTGTGATGGGGAACCATAGAAATTGAACAAATAAATAAACCACCCCCAGGGGTCACACACCACTACTGGATTTCCATGCTAATTGACAGAACCAGAAGACCCCAAGAAGAATGAGGGTCTGCCTCATCCCAGGGAACAAGACTAACCAAACATACATACTAACCACACAATTAAAAATATTCAACAACCATTTGTGACTTCTGTTCAAGAATTCAGTTTTCTGATATTTAAGCTTCTATTAAAATATAGATGAACACACCATTTAATCCTTTGAAAGAACAGGAAAGGGAGCACCCAGAAAAGCTCATTTAGGGGACGAGTAGGACTTCACTGTTCTATCTAGTTTCATCTTCCTCATTATGACTAGTAGAACTGCAGAAAATTAAATTAATGCAAGTTAATTAACCTACACTGTTTAAACCACAGTATATTCTTCAATGTGGACTATATCCAGGTCTTAAAATTGCAATTACATGCAAGAAGTTGCTTGGCCACTGTTAATCAAAATAAAGTTATAGTAAATAAAGCCTTTTCTGAAAATTCTAAGGCATATAATATTACGTTTCTTCTGACTTGGATAATAACCAGGTAATAAAAAGGATAGAAAGGTTACAACAATTAGTTTTCAGAAGTGATAATGAAACATGTACTCATATACATTTGCATTACATTAAATTTAGTAATCTGCTATTACAGCCTATTCTTATTACATACATTAAAAATCTATTACATTGTTTGATTTGTTTCTCATACTATACCATTTTTAAATTTATTGAGGAATTACTGTATATTGCTATACCTCCTATGTATAGAAACTGTGAGTCATATTAAGCACAGTTCAACTTTTTAAATAATGTCATCCTTTTCATTTTAGCTTAGGAATTGAATAGTAAGGGAATGAATGAATCATCATATTAAAATGTTACTTTATAGGCAATTCATATATCTGATTTACTTATAAAGCAGTAAATGAAATACCAGTTCTATATTTTAGCTGCACATATTAAAATGTTTAATTTTAAAAAAATATTTTCCAAAAATAGTTACAGTTGATAAAGCTTTTTCTTGCAAGTCAAAACTAATGACTCTATTTCCCTAGCTGCTGACCCAGTAAGCACAATTTCCCAAGAGGAATGAAGATTAAGTGTAGTCTATACTTCTGCTTAGAAAAAAAAATAGTGTGTCAAAGGGAAGAGTTGGCAACCCTAACTAAAATAAACCAACTAATAATTTTTAAATATATTTCGACAATTGTATGATGGTTCTTCCAAATAAAAATTTAACTTTAGAAGAAAGCGCTATATTGAATTGGAATAATTATGAATATGAATAATTATTGTATGCTACCCAGAGTCACTTTTTGTGAGATAGGTGGCCAAATAAATTTGAATAAAAGTTTAATAGGATTTACACAGATACCCACAGCAAATTGAGACTGTCTTAAAATAATATGGATAAAGTTGTGTCATGATGCTAACTCTACTCTTACATACTGGAATCCCACTTACAACTATGTATGTCTTAGTATTTTATTCACAGTATGTTTCAAATCTCCACATGCCCCCAAGGCAAATTATAAAATATATGGCTAGGTAGAAGTCTGCTATGACAATTTTTTAGAAATAATCTGATAATTCAAGACTACCTAACCTAAGCAATTTTATCTTCTTGACATCTTCCATTGATCTTTTATCATCAGATAATAGAAACTGAAGGCAGCCTATTTGATCCTATCCCAATCTGATACTATTGTATCTAGATATATCATGTTACATTTCTGGTACTATTGTATCTAGGTATGTTACATTTATCAGCATTTCTAACTGACACAGATAAAAATCAAAACCCCAACATATCAGGAGCTCTGTTCAGGGGTCTCCAAATTTGGCAACTTTAAGACTTGTAGACTTGAACTCCAGAATTCCCCAGTCAGCATGGCTGGCTGAGGAACTAGATAGATAACGTTAGGATGGATAGAAAAAGTAGATTAGCAATCAGTTCAATCAGAAAAGTATGAAGTATATGGGCAATGTAGACTAACCAGACAGCACACTGTACATATTTCTGATATTCATGTCCTAAACTCTGTATGACTCATTACAAAATGGAGAAGACAGAACAAAGAAATATACCTACATTTGTAATGTTAAAAATACATAGTTATGTTATAAGATACTTTATTTAAATAGGCAGGGTTCTAGAGAGTCTCATTTTTCTCCAGCATGAAGTTTCTGAATGAGTAATAAAATTTCTACTGTAATAAAATGAACTAAAAAGAGCCGAGGTGGCGCAGCAGTTAGAGTGCAGTACTGCAGGCCACTTTAGCTGACTGGGTTCAGCAGATCAGCGGTTCAAATCTCACCGGCTCAAGGTTGACTCAGCCTTCCATCCTTCCGGGGTAGGTAAAATGAGGACCCAGATTGTTGGGGGCAATGTAAATATATATATACATTGCTTACTGGTGTACACCGCTTAGAGAGTGCTTGCACTTAAAGCGGTATATAAGTCTCATAAATAAATAAATAAATAAATAAATAAATATATCCAAAGTCATGGTCTTTGTGAGGGAATGTAGTAAAATATAGTAAAATCATTCTGTAGAAATAAATGGGTCCACTCAGTATCTGGGTGAGTTCTCAAAGCTTGAGAAACCTATGCAATCTGACTTTACTTCAACAATATAAAATACTATATGGCTATATTGCTTTACACAATTATATATTAAATTGCAAGATTTCTGGAGCTTTGAATAAGCCAGCAATAATATACCATAGTACTTTCTACAGTACTGCTCTTATAGTAATCTAATTAGGTAACTAAAACAGGTTGCAGGTCTATCTGAGCCAACTCCTTATCCAATTCATTTGCCAAGGCATTTCATGAAACGAGGTGCAAAGCAAGCTGGTACAGTGTTTGTGTACTATAGTGCATTGTGCACCATATATATCTTACCCTCTGAGTCTAACCAAAGAAAGGGCTGACAGGATAAAACTTCATTAAGTTGGCACTTTATAAAATTGAGCACCAAGACATCTTATTTCCTCTTCAAAGTTACACAAGAGGGAGGAATGCCAAAGATACAGGCTCAGACTGAAAGCAAGCAAAAACCTTCAGCAGGTTCTTTCACATGTCTATTATCATTGCGCATAATAAACAAAATACGGGCGGTCAAAGTTGGCCTTCACTCTCAGCGACTTTATATATCCTCTCCAGGTCCAAATTAAGTTACTGAAAATACTGCAACTAGTAGGTTATAGCTAATTAAACGAGACAATAATGCTTGAAACCTGGAGCAAATGTTTTTGGACCGAGATAAAAGTTAGATGTTGAGAGTTAAATAAGATGTTGCTTATTTGAAGCTTTCCATAACATAAATAGTTCATTGTATAATATTCAATACAGCACTTTAAAGTTCCTGACAAATACTATTGGTCCTTGAAACAAGGCCCGGACCTCAGGGGCCCCGCCTTGGTCCGCCTCGCTTTCCTTACTGCAGCCTCCAGGCCAAGGGTGGAGAGAAGCACTCTGCGCTCCACAGCCAGCGCGATGACCGGCGGCAAGGAAATTGGCAGCAGCCGGCACAGCACCACGAGGCTCACCCCCGCCTCCCCGGGGTTCTGCAGCACCAGGGCCTACCGGCCTCATCCTGTAACTTCGCCTATTCCTGCCGCTGCTCCGGAGTCGGCGTCCGGGCGAGAGAAATTCGCGCCCACTCACGCGTCGGTAATTCTTCACCGCGGCTTCCCCAGAGGGTTACAGGCGGCGAGAAGGCCCTCCCCACCTTGGGTGCCAGTGGGCGGGGGCGCGGAGGAAGGCTTGGGAACTCGAGGCGGGGCCCTGCCCGGGGAAACGGTGCAGGCCTCAAGTGGATCCCGCCCTGCCAGCCGCCAATCTCCACGCGTGCACGCGCTGGCGGCGGCGCCACACAACCGCCGGATCCGGGCTCGCGGGAGCGCGCTCCCGTGCCCGCTCTCCCTCCCCCCTCCTATGCCGCTACCGCCGCCACCTCCTCCCGTCGTCGTTCCCCCCCCCCGCCTTTCACCAATCCAAATGTTGCGTTTCCCTCCGGAATACCGCGCCTCACGCTCCCGTAAAGAAGGCTCGACAACCCTCAACTGAGTTCAGCTCCGCCTCACCCCGGCCCCTCTGTCGCCTCGCGCCGTCACCACCTCAGGCCCCGCGTCTTTTTTCCCCTCACAGCTCCCTGGGCGCCATCTTACATTCAACCCGCCGCAACCAATCGGCGCCCGGCTTGAAGCTCGCGACAGCACCGCCTCCAAGCCGCGCGAGACCTACAACCGAGCCACGCCCCTTGCCTTAAAGTGGACGAGAGCCTTCGGTGGGAGGGGGCGAGGGACGTGCACAGAGGAGCGGTAGGGATTAGTTTGAAGAACAAAAAGAGCTTGCGGGAAGGTTATTGTAGTACCTCTCTTACAGATACACATTGGTTCCTCTCGTTTCCCCCTCCCTCTTCGTAAGTCCTAGACTTGCGTGTATTTTACTTCCCGGTGTGGTCAGTTTTTTCTGCCCTAGATGGGCGTCCTCTTCACCCAGTGATTGCTCTCTATATTATAAGAATATTTTCTCGTATATATTGTGAACACTCCTAAAAATAAAATACTACCCCTCGCACAAGAAACTCCACCCTTATTATAAGTGATAGCCTCGGGCAAAGAGAATTTAAAGCGCCGCGAAAACTAAATTTGGGGAGGAGAGATATGTCCCTTTTTCCAGTCCATGGAACATAAAATTGTAATACTTAGAATTTTACAAAACGTTTCTGCAAGACTCTCAAAATGCACACTTGCCGCCATGAAAATTAATAATAAAAGTTGTATAATATGTTTAAGGTCGGGTGATTAGAAGAATCCTAGAAAGAATAACTGTTCCTCTATGGAGAGGATAAACACTGTAGTAGACAGTCTATTACAATCTATTAGTTGAATTGGATTTATTTCTTATGAAAGAGCACTCAGCCTCAGCATCCTGTTTCAGCAACCTGCAACTTCTGGAGTTAAGTTCTAACACCTCTACTAAAAGCTAACAGCTCATAATTTTATCTGTGTCATACTCAATACTTAGAATATTTCTACTCATTTGTCATCCAAGAAAAGCTCCACAATTTGTAACCCATTAGCAAGACACTATATGCATATTAATATTTGTAATGCAATTGCAGAGCAGAGTGATGTTTTCTGTCTGTCCTCTTAAGATGAATTCCCATTTGGAGTGAAGGAAATAATAAGAAATTAGAGTCTGCTGTTCCCACTCTGGACAAATTACCTTTCAGTCAGCCATTTTCACTGAAGTTCTGAAGTATTACAGTGAAGATAATGGATTTCAGCAACACTAAGAAAATAACATTCTACAGGAGTTCAGAGAGAAGTTCTGCTTAGGAAAATTGAAAATAAATCAAAATAGTCACACATTGTCAAAAGTTCTTATTCCCTTTTTTGCCTACTAATGCTAAAATCTGATAACTGATAATAGGGAAATTTGCAAAGGTTTGTGCTTGTTACAGACATAATGTGATATCTTTGTTGTGATGATGATGTGGGTACCTAAATTCACAGGTAATTATCAGGCAGAATAAATGGATGTCATTGATAGGTGCATGAAACTCACTGGGAGTAGAGAGGGAGCAAAAACTTTCTGGTAGGCAAAAAAAGGAACAGCCTTGTCAAAAGGTTTAGAAATATAGTTCTCATCTTTGAGAAACAGTCAATTACTAATTGGAGCAACATAGAGAAGCATCTTAGAAGAGCTATTTCAATGGGCCACATTGCAACTGATTCAGAAATTAAAGGGTACCTGTACCAAAAAAGGAAAACTTTATTTTACAATCTTTTCTGGGAATCTTAATAATATTGCACTTTTCATAAGTGGATGTTTAACATAGCCTATCCCCAAGCTCAACAAAATATACCAATTAATATATTAAAAGACAGTGTGTGATCATCTTTGTTTACATACAATTTAAAAGGTTCCTCACTTTTTCCAATACTATTAGCAGTTAGAGGAAGCCTGCTTGCTCATTTGAAATGCATGCAAATAAAAAGTAGGATATAGCTCATGTTAAATACAAAATACAGTTTATAAAACATCTGGAAAGAGGGGGTGGGTACAATCTTAGCATAGTACCATTTCTCATTAACAGCCTTATTTAATATAGAGGAATAGGGAAATTTGCAAAGTAGCAAAATAAATTCTACATCACAAAGAAATCAACACAGAATTTCTAAGCATTTCCTCTCCCTTTTTTTCTTGCAAAGAAAAACTTCCCCTCAACAAACTTAGCTCAGGGTATCTCCCATGTGAGCCTAATTGAGTCATTTGTGCTGCTAAACTGTAACATTTTCTGAGAAATTTGGGCAGCAATGGAGGCTATTTACCAACTGTTGGAAACAGGCAGGCCCAATTTTATCAAGGCTTAGAGACTGTATTCTGCAGAAAATCAAATCATTAGTAATGTAATCCCCAAAAGACTCAAGCTATCAAATGCAGGAACGCAACCTTATTAAGAAATACATATATGTCCTAGCCCCCAAAGCTGCAGTTCAGATACATAATTGCACCACAGCTGTCTTTCTGGAAGTGTCTTCTCTAAGCAAAATCCAGCTGATTGACCACAGAAAAGAGACCTGATATCAGCACTGAGAAATTGAGAAGCTTGACCAAAGGGTGACCTTTCCATTTAAAAACAATAGTTTAGCCAGTGAACACAAGCCCTCCTTTTCCCCCTTCGGATTAATTTAGTAGCCTTAGGGAGATGGATAATAAAGTATTTTGGAGGAATGCAAATACTCAGAATTACTTTTCATGCAAACTACATTCAGAACTTTTCCTTACTTTGCTAAGGATATCCTCTCAGTGCTGCTATAAAAAGACAAAATAAAGTTATACACAAATTGCAGATTCTACTCTTAAAGAGAAAGTAGTTTTTAAAAAGAATGGATACCTGCTCTGCAGCACACATTGGAACACTGTGTGAGATGATGCTGGCACAGGCTGATGTCGCTGGCAAGAATTCTTAAGATGTTTCACTATCCTGACCCACCAGATTTTTTTCAGGACAAAAGTGGAGGGATGCCAGCAGATGCTCATTGTATACAACAAGAGCAACAAACTTTCTGGCAAGTGAGGAAACTGGTGAAGGAAGGGGTCCCAGGTCTCTTGCCCCCAAGAGACCAGCCTAGCTAAAGGCAACACCAGGCTGCTTTAAAATCCCCATGTGCTCGCTAATAACCTCCCACTTCACAGTACCAACAACTGCTCCTTAAGGTGGCCCTTGTCATCCTTAACAGGTGAGGCTTCACAGGTCGCCCCACCCAGAGACTCTGCTTCAATCCTCTGACCACAACACCATCAGGGCCCCGAGTGAGATTTTGCTTGGATTCGGAGTCTAGTTGGCCAGTACCGATTGGTGCCAAGACAGCCCGGCACTTCCACACTGCTGGCTAGCAACCCTTATCCAGTCCACCTTAAATAGGGCCCAGAGTTACTAACTTTCCGTCTAGACTTTGGTGTTTGTACACAGCAGAAAATGTGCAAGGCGTTAAAGGTGCAGTGACCCGGGCTGGAGCATTGCTGGGAGAAGAGCAGGAGGGCGGGGGAGGAGCGCAAACGAGCAAAAAGCAAGTCAAAGCCTGGGCACCGGCCGCTTCGCGAAAGGGTAAAGGTTAGCTGCGGAAGGACAGACCCTGGCAGCGATCCAGCCTAGAAGAACAGCCGCTCAGACGTGCAGATGGGCTGCCGGGTGTTGTTGCTCATTCCCCCACCTCCACCCTTCTCTGCTTGGAGAAAAAGGTTACTCCGTGTTTCCCAGGGGGAGCCGCGCACCTGATCGCATCTGCTTGAATACACAAAGGAAGACGAAAGAAGAGTGAAATTTGGGGCACCCGAACATCGGTTATGCTTGTAATGTAACATTCTGGTGGGGTATATGCCTACTATTGTTGCTTGCACATTGCGGAGCTTTTTGTTTTGTCCACATGACCATACCCCCCACCTTCCTTACTTCCCACCGTCCTCATAATGATTAGCTGATCTCCTTGGCCTCTGGGGATCCTGGCTTTGTTCATATGATGTACATAGAAGTAGCCTTTTGGTCTCTCTTGGTAGATGAAGTATATAATAATTCCCTCCCCCCCCCCCAATATTACCTCTTAATTTTTTACACTAGTGGAAATTGCCACCCTTTTTGGTTGTGTTTTCTTTTAAAATTATTTTATTGAAGTAAATCACACACAACAATGATCTTTGTTAGAGCCAGGAAGCGGGTGGTGCAATTGCTCTGGCTCTCCTAGATGCTTTGGTGGTTTTCATTGTCACTGATTGGGGTATCACTTTGAATTGGCTATACTATAGGTCGTTATGAATGGGTGGGTAGGCACAGTATTGTGATCATTCTCCTTTCTGTGCAGTTGGTTCAATGTCGATAGGAGGGGAGAGGTCCCACTCAGAAGCCCTTGCCCCCCCCCCATAGCGTCACTCCTCTTTAACATCTGTTTGAGACTCTGAGGCTATTGGGAAGGTTATCCATTAGTTTGGGGATAGGCTTTATCAGTAAGCTGATAAGACAGGTGGAATTATGACCACAATTGAGCCCAAAATTTTCTTTGCTAAGCAAGAGTTTCTTTGCTAAATGAGTTGTGCCCCATTTTATGACCTTTTCCCACTATTGTTAAGCAAATCACTAGTTAACTGAAACATGTGATTGTTAAGCAAAACTGACTTCCCCCATTGACTCTGCTTGTGGGAAGTCCCTAGGAAGGTTCCATATGACAACCGAGAGTAGGGGACCCTGCAACCATCATAGTACAAACCAAAGTTTGATCATGTGACTGTGGGGATTCTGCAACAATCATTAAGTGTGAACCACAGACATTCTGACCTGTTAGAATCCTTTCGTTGTATTAAGTGCTCCTTTTTCCCAAGAGCC